AGTTAGTTTACATTTAAGTATGTTTCTTTTATCTATTTAAAGTTTAAAAAGTTTACAATTTTGTATTTTGTTTATAAGAGCTATTGAAACATTTGTTTAAGATATAGTTTAGTGTATTAGAATTTAAACCAGATTTTCTTCTTAACTTTTTTTTTTTTTTTTTGCTTACTTCACCGTCTTTTTCCATTGATTGCATAGCTACAATTAGTTTTTTTTAATTTTTTATATAGTTTGTAAATCATTTGATGTGTTTGGTTAAATGTCTAGAAGGAAAAATGCGAACTACTTAAAGATTAGTTTTCCCTCTCGGAGGCACGCTTAAGTAAAGTTTTCTTTAAAGTAATTGAAGAGTTTTACAGTTTTGTTCAGAGTTTCCACAGTTTTTCATTAGGCTCTTAAGTGCTCACGGCGATCGTTTCGCCTAGACCTGTCTGATTGCTGCTGTTGTTGTTGTTGCTGCCGCCGTTGTTGCTGCTGTTGTTGTTATTGTTGTTGTTGTTGGTGTTGTTGTTGTTGCCATTGGCCAGCAGGTCCTTGTCACAGCTAACGGAGTGACGCGTCGACACGGACAACTGATCATCGCTGCCCGCATACTCCTCGGTGTCCCCATCCGCCCCGCCCAGACTCGTGGGCGTATAGACGCGCTTCATGAAGGAGCGAATGTCATCGAAGCAGGCCTCCTCCCGGTCGCCAGCCTCATTCGAGCTGGGCGAGTCGTTGTACTCGAAGCCGGCCGCATCCGCCTCATGCTTCTTCAGATGCCGATCGAGATTCGTTTGCTGGCCAAAGCAGCGATCGCACATGTGACACCGGAACGGACGCTCCTTGTTGTGGATGTTGCGCACGTGCCGCTGCAGATTCGAGGAGATGCTGAAGGCGCGATCGCAGTACTTGCACGTGTACGGCTGCTCGCCGGTGTGGGTGCGCAGGTGCCGGGTGAGATTGGCGGAGCGCGGAAATACCTTGCCGCAGAACTTGCAGGTGTAGCGGTCCTTGAGCTTGCCGCCATTGGCGGCGACGACGCTGGCGCCGCTGCTGCAGGCATTGGCAGCGGCGGCGGCCAGGCCGGCGGCTCGCAGAGCCTCGTGGAAATTGTGCTCGGGCGGAAACGGCAGATGACGCGAGCTGCTGCCGCTGCTGATGCCAGCAGCCGGCGATTTCAGTGGCTCAAAACCTGGCCGTCCGCCCATTTGGCCTAAAAAATGAAACGGTGGCGTATTGAAGCGCGAGCGGTAGAGCTCCTCGAGCAGCAGCTGGGGATGCAGCTGCCGCGGGCAGGCCATCACCGAGGCCGCCGCAGCCGCCGCCGAGGCAGCGCCCACGGCGGCAGCGGACGCCGCACTCTCGGACATGCTGCTCAGCTCGCCGCCCGTGCTGATGGGCGGCGAGGGCGAGGGCGTGGGTCCGGGCGAGGCGCTGACACTGGGCGTGGGACTACTGCCCTTGAAGGACTGATGTGAGGTGGACGATTCTCCCGAGCTGTGCTTCATCACCTTAACGGGCGGCTGGCCGGCCACGCCCTCCGCGATCTCCAGCGCGGGCGTGGACGTGCGACTGGACAGCGACATGGCCAGCGGCACGGGCGTGCTGGCCGTGCACAGTGAGCTGCGGCGCTTGCGACTGACGGACAGATCCAGTGGCAGCAGATCCACGCCGCTCTTGTCCTGCTCCGGCTGCACCTCCGTTTCAGTGGGCGGTGGAGTGCTCATTATGTCTATAGATTTCTGTAAGGGGAAGATTTGCATAAGTCAAGGCTGAAATGCTTGCCTGGGAACATCTGAAAACTTACCCTATCGTTGTCAATGTCATTATCATTCTCATTATCATTGTCATTCTCATTATCATTATCGTTGGCCTGCTCCTGATCATTGTGCTCTGCTGGCTGTGGGCCGCTAGCTTCCGGCTTTGACTCAGTTATTGGCTTGTTCGAGTCCTTGCTCGAGTCTAGACGTTCATAGGCATTGGACTCCTCCTGCTCCTCCTCCTCTTCGTCGCTGGGCTGCAGCTCGGTCTTGATGGGATGCTTGCGCTCCGGCGTACTGGACTCCCGTTTAAGGCGCGGCGACTCCGGCTTGAGACTCATCGCCGCCTGCAGCTGCTGCTGGAAGGCAGCGTTCGGTGAGACCAGCGGCGCCACCAGGCCGCGCCCCATCTCGCCCAGATGCGGACCAGGAAACATGTGCGGCAGCAGCGGCTGCGGCCGGCAGTTAGTAAAGAAGTTGGGCAGCGCGTACGGCGGAAAGCCCGGAAAGAACGAGTGCGTGGGATGCATCGTGAACATGTGATTCGGAGGCGTGGCCATGGCGGCTGTGTCGCTGCTGTTGCTGCTGGCTGCGGCAGCGGCGGCGGCKGCAGCGAGTCGCTGATGCGCACCAGGTGGCAATATGAGTTGCCCCGCCTGCGTCTGCTGCGGCTGCTGGTGGTGTTGGTGGTGCTGGTGGTGCTGCTGCTGCTGCTGCCGGTGCTGGTGCTGGTGCTGATGATGCTCCAGGCGACTCTGTGGTCCGCTGCGAAAACTGTCGGAGCTGTCGCAGAACTTCTTGTGCTTGGAGAGCGAGGTGACCGTGCTGAAGCTCGTCTTGCACTTCTGGCACTTGATCTGCATGCGGCAGTCGGCGTGCATGCGCTTGTGCCGGCAGAGGTTGGAGAACTGCGTGTAGGCCTTGAAGCAGACCTCGCAGGCGAACGGCTTCACCGAGGAGTGGATGTGCTGGTGCTGCTTCAGCCCGGACGATGTGGCGAATGTTTTACCGCACTCCGGACACGGATGACTGCGAGCGCCGACGTGATAGGCGCGAATATGACGCTGTAAATTCGATGGGTCACAGAATACCTGCACGGCACGGCGACGGAAAAGAAACAGAAAAAATAGGTAAGACAATGAGTTTTGAATTTGAATAGCGAATGAGTATTATGAGTGTTATGTCTGTGTGTGTGTGTGTGTCTGTGTGTTGTGGTGAGCGAATCGTTGTCGCTGCTGTCGCTGCTGCTGCTGCTACCTGTGCGCGGCGGAGTTTGCTCTGATTCGAGTGCCAAATGAAATGAAACTGAAATTAATCAATCATCTGCTGCTGTGGCCCCTAAACGGATCTATGCGAGCGCCTAAACAATGCTCCAACCGATCGACCGACCGAACGACCGACGCTCTCAGATTACGCAAAGCCAACAACAACTCCACCCACTAGCAACAGCAGCAGCAGCAGCGACGGCAGCGGCAGCGGCAGCAACACCTTCGTCAATTATTAACATCAATTGCTACAATTGTCGTAAGCCTGGCCATCCCCGTGACCCGCTCGACGCCCTTGCCCCGCCCTTCGCCAGACTGACTACAACACATTTGCCTAGGCAGATACTCACAAAAACTGTGACCGCTTCACCAAAACAGTGACTCTTTGGTAAATGAAATTAAAATGGGAAACTCGATTTTTTAAGTGAATTAATTAAAAGTTTATATATAGAGAAGTAAAATATGCCAATGAACCTTATATACAATAATATGTAGATCTTATAAAAATAAATATTAATAAAAAAAATTACAAAATTATATCAAGTACTTCTCCATAAAAATATATGTATAACAAACTTTTATATTCTAGATCATCTTTCTACTTCGACTTCCACTCGACCTAGTATTTGCCTGACTACAAAAATTCCTAGAATTATCAAAAGTCACAATTTCGAGCAAGTCCCTACAATCACTGCAACTCAATTACTGTGCAACCCTAGTCTAATCCATAGCTCTTTGATATATATTTTTCTATTTTTTTTTTTCTACTTTGTGTGTAGGGTGCGGGTAGGGGCAGCTAACGCAATGACAGATCGGGCCATTCATTTTTGTTGTTCGCTTGGGCCAGGCGCAGAGCCAGGCGCAGAGCCAGAGCCAAGTCTGGCGAAGTGTGCGAGAGCCAGGTACCAGTTTCTCAGTACCCACTTGAAACTTGATTTCGGTCAGCCTCCACCCGCGCTGCCTTTTACGAAACTGTTATGCCTAATCATGCTGTCATAATGCGCTACGAATTCATATCAAACGATGATCGAGTCAGCCTTTTTTGTCTATCGCAGAGTGAGAGAGGGAGAGAGAGAGAGAGACAGAGAGAGTGAGGGAGAGAGAGAGAGACACCGAAAGCCCGAAGACAAACGGCGACACACACAAGAATAGCTCGTGCTATAACTACATCAAATGGATTAGATTCAACTACCTCTCCAAAAAGGCGAAAAACGCCACAAAAGACAACAACAGCAACGAGCTACAACAACAACGAGCTACAAATGAAGCCTCAGCCTCATGGAGTCAGTGTAGGTGTTGTGGCATGCAAAGGCAGCAAAGCCCAAGACGAGCTCTCGCGCAGCACTCGCAAAGGTTGGTCTATGGAATGCGATTGTCTGGCAGTCAGTTGTTGTTGTAGTTGCTGTTATTGTTGTTGTTGCTTGTGTGGCGTTAGGCTCGTACGTGGGGTCAGCCAAAGGCGTCTGGAGTAGGGCACTAAAAGATGATGATGTGGAGATCTGGTGCAGGCAGAAGTGCAAACTGGTTCAAGCCTGGCCCCAGACCAGGCCAAGCCAAGGAAATCTATTTCGCGAAAAAAAAAAACTAAAATAAAATACTAATTAAGAGCAAGAGGAGTAGAGAAACTTTTTTCAGATTACCAGGCAGATCCCATGTGTATAAATTTATTTAATTTCTCCTGAGAAAGCAAGATCAGCAGATATTGAGCAGGCAATGAAAGAGACTCGTTTGATCAAGGAGTAAATGCAATGAGAAGACAGAGTTGGCCTAGCCATAGATTGCTTATAGCGGCTAGACCTTACCTACAGGTCTATATATATATGATTCCTGCCTTCTATGCTAAATATAGGATTGTCTTTGAGGTACTTTTTGTTCCGTGTAAAATGTGTAAACTTCCCTAGACCCAGGTAGACCAACTAAAAGCCCTTTGGCCAACATTTTAGCTACTCCAGTTTAGTGTCAAGTCTCAAGTACATAGTAACTATTCAAACTCTTTAGCGCAGTTGGTTCGGTGAAGTGCAGCTAAGCGCAAATGGAAAACATGTTAGATCCGTGGCAAATCCCTTTTGTAACGCTTTAAGCCGCCTGCTTGAAAAACAAACAAAGCTGACAGCTGCAAAGACCCCCGAGATGTTTTTTATTCGTTTTTTTTTTTTTTTTTTTTTTTTTTTTTTTTTTTTTTTTTTTTTTGGTTGCCCTGTCAATGCTGAACCTGGAGAGCAGCGAAAGTATTTGGCCTTTTATGTAGGCATTGACCAGTTACGAGTGCCCCGCAAGATCGATCATCATTTGTTTAGCCTCAGTGGCTCCCGTTTGTGTCGCAGCTGGGCTAGCCCCAAAGGTAGCCGTGAAGGGGGTAAGGGGGCGGGGTCTGCCCCACCACAATGCGTGCTACTTACATGCCACCGAAACAATTACAGAGCGCTAAGTAAACTAACTGTAATGCAACGATTGAAATACCGTTGGAAATGCAATGAGTAGAAGAAAAAACGAAAAAAGGGAAAATCCAAAAGAAAAAGCTCGATCTGTGCGCCGCAAGCTGGCAAGCTGGCAAGCTGGCAAGCTGGTAGCTGCGCTGGTAGCTGCGCTGGTAGCTGGTAAGGCTGACGACCACAAGATTGTAATCAACATGCCATTAAAACATCTTTGCCAGAGATGTCGAAGCCGTTGTCGATGACAATGACGAAGTGCTGGACCCTGTAACGAATCGCTCGGAATCGAATCGAATCGAATCGAAACGATGCATAGATGGATCGCTGGCCCGGATTGCCCTGGCCCTGCCCGGCTAACTGTTTGTATAGATAGTGATTCGACTTGAAAAAGCTCCTCTCTGGGGCCCTTTAATTTTACATTGGCATTCAAATGCAGCGCGAAGATGTACGGCAACAACAACAACAACAACAACAAAGTCGGCTCATTACCCAAGCAGCTCAAATGGTTCGCTTAAGTGTTTTGGATGAGTACACGCCCTGATTTCGTATTGCCACAGCGCGTGCGATAGCTCTGAAGGTTTTTTTTTTCGGCCAGCGACAAGAGTCAGCAAAGAGGTTTTTTCTGTTGCTCTGGGCCCGGGGCTATTGATCTGCTTGAAATCAAAAGTCTTTAGCCGTGTACCACATACCACCGCCGCCATCGCCGCCGTCAGCGCACAGCTGATATAATAATTAATGACCTGATCAACGGTGTTGGCCAAAAGGGCCTTACCTCACACCTCACAATGCCCCCAGAGTACTTGTTGGCTAAGGCAGAGCTTCGATTGTCACAGCCAGCTCTGAGCAGGCGACAGAGCTGGAAGTTTCTTATATACCACGAAAGGGGAGGTAGGCTTAGCTTAGAGCCAAAACGAAATCCCGTGATATACTCTATTCCTTATAGAATAGAGCTTAGGGTAACTTAGAGCAAATGTGATAACGTTCCGAAGGGTTTCAAGATAGGTTTTTCAAGGATTTAACTGGTTGAGAATATAAAATATAAATGTGGCTAAATGTCTTAGGCTTATTCTTCCCTTCCCCTTGATTTTATAGCTCTTTACTCGGCTGAGTTAGTGCTTGATCTCATGTATTCTACATCGATTAAGCTTGCTTCGTTTTCCCATTTTACCCTACTGGCTTCAATTCTCTACCTCTCTCCCTTTTCACTTTCCCTATAAATTTCAAGAAATATCTTCTTCACTTACCTTGGAACAATTCTCGCAGGAGTATTTCCTTATGTTATTATGGGCGATCGCTCCGTGTTTGATCAGCAACGGGCGATGGCAGAAATGTTGGGAGCACAACTCACAGGCGAATTCCCCACGCTTGAAGTGATGCGCGCCCACCAGATGATCGTCCAGCCTGCAAAAACAAAAGAGAACATAGGTAATTGTGAGTGAGGGTTTTACTTTCATGCCATGCGGCGGTTGAGTTTCCCTTATCGCCAGCGTTGGCATCAGCAAATGGAAATTAGCATTTGTGACAGTTGGGACAAAAGCTGTGCACAATCGACAGCCTCAATCAGCGGCATTTGCGTCAGTTCACACGACCCCATCCACAGACACACTCTCTGCTGCTTCCCCCCTCTCTCTCTCCTCTCTCTATCACTCCATCTATCCTTTTCGCTCTATGTTTGCCTTCAGCTACTTTGTTTGTTGTCCAACAGCAGGCAACGCCCATACCCTGCCACACACACACACATACATCTGGGCAATGCGACTCTCCACTTGCTGTTGGCGTCAATTAGTCAAATGATGTTCAATATTTAATATGCGACGCTGATAAGCGATCGCGCCCTCCAACAGCTGTGGCCAATGAGTGTCCTCTGCAGACCCGCCCATGGCACCATACGCCTCCCTTTCGCTGGGTGTCCTTGATTGTGGAGCAGCGAGTGCGATGCTTATCGCGGCAGCTCGCGTGGGAGGAGCCGCAGTCGACAAAAGGCGGACACATTTTTAGCATATATGTGCATATATATGTATATACATACATATATATACATTTTTTCATTCGATTTTTCCTGCTCTTTTCGTTATTGCTGTTGTTGTTGTTGTTGTCGTTGTTGTGATTTTTGTCATCGACATGGAAGAGTTGACTAGGCCAGTGCTTCAATCCTCTTGTGCGTTTGAAGTGTGGGCGTGCGTTTGTTTGCTTACAACAACAACAACAACAACAACAACAGCAATAGCAACAGCAATAAACTATGCATGTTCAACATCAGATAAATTGCAAAGCCTGACGGACTCAGCGACACGCAGACATCAGACACAGTGGGAGAGAGAGAGAGAGAGAGAGAGAGAGAGAGAGAGAGAGGGAGGGAGATGGTGTAGGACAGAGAGGTGCTCCTTTCGCCTTCTGAGCGCTTCTCATATAAAATTCCATAAATCATACACGCATACCAACTGATAAAACTGCAATTGTGTGTGTGAGTGCTGGGCCACCCACTCACGTAGAGCCCCCATCCCCCTTCCCCCACTCGCTGCTCCCTACAAATCAAATCAAAGCGCACTTTAGCACTTGAACACAAACAAACAACGAAACAATAGAGGAGCGAGCAATGTTATTTTCGTGTAAAACATTTGTAAATATTGTACAAAAGTTTCGCATTAAACATTGTAATTCCGCTTTTTGATTAAGGATCTCTTTAGTCAGAAATGAATAGCTCTAATTGATGTAATAACACTCAATATCTGCCTTTCAACAACTAATTCTCTGCTGATATATTATTGCCTTGCAATAGAAAGTGGAGTACTGGGGATGCGCTCAAGACGAATTGAGATCAAAGTAAAAGCCGATGCAGATGTTGAATAGTATTTATAAAAGTATACAGCAGAGGGCAAAGGAGTCGAAGTAGACTCCAAATAAATAATGACTTAGTTGAGCTTAATTTCTCTGGTTCTCTTTTTTAGTTTCCCACTATGTCTCCTTTGTTTTTCTCTTTACCTCTCTGTTCTACTCAATATTTGTTGATCGTTCTGCCTCGTTCGATCTCTTGTTTTCTCTCCCTGCTCTCCATCCCTTATCTCTATTTTTTTCTCTCAATCTCTCAACCTTACCCTTTTTCTCTGTGTCACCTCTGTAAGTCTCTGAGTATCTCAGTCTTTCTACTTCTAAGTCTCTCCATATCTCAGCTTCGCATTCCTTAAGTCTCTATTCATTATTTCTCGCTCTTTCCCATCTCTCACTCTCTTTTTCTCTGAAATGACTATTTGTCTTTCTCTCAGCCTCCTTTGCACTCTTTGTATATATAGCTCCATCTGTCTCTCCTTATCCTTCTTTCGGCATTTTCCCATTATTAATAATAATTCAACCCAACTCAAAATATTTACAATTCCAAACATTGCCACTGAAAATCCCGCTTGCAGTTAAGCCGAGATCCCTTGGCTAATAAACCACATAGATAAATCTGAAGCGCATTGGCAACTCTCACTTTCAAACGTTTGGCAACGCCACGACGTTTGTTTAATGGCACTTTTATTGGCCACACTAAATAGGCATTATCGTAATCAACTTTAATTAAGATCGCCGACATGCGGCTCAAACGTTTAGCAACAATTGGGAATAGTTTTTATACCCTGAACCCATTGAAAATGGGAAATCAGGGTATAATGGTTTTGTTGAAATGTATGTAACAGGCAGAAGGAGGCGTGGCAGACCCCACAAAGTATATATATTCTTGATCAGGGCGACGAGCTGAGTCGATTTAGCCCTGTCCGTCTGTCTGTCTGTCCGTCTGTCCGTCTGTCCGTCTGTCCGTCCGTCCGTCTGTCCGTCTGTCCGTCTGTCCGT